TTTCGACCTACCGACCACCATCTTGTTTTTATTAGGCAACATTATTTTAATTTTATTCACTTATATATAAAAAAAAAAAAACATTTTGAGTACGTTAATATTAATCTTACAAATTCAACAAAAATTTAGTGGCGGATTCTCCCTTGCATTTTCAGGGCCGAATGTCTTTTCTTATTAATACTGCCGCCACTCTCAGCTTTTCTCCCTCCTTGCCTGCCTTCTTCTCCTCCCCTCCCAAATCCAATCTCCGCCCTTCTTCCGCCTTCTTCCCTTCCCATTTCCCTACCATTGCTTCCTCCTCTCCTACCTACCTCAGGGCACATCCGTCTTTGCATTCCCAACCTTCCGCTGTCATGGGTGATGCTCCTGATGCTGGCATGGACGCGGTCCAGAGGCGCCTCATGTTTGAGGACGAGTGAGCTTCGATTTCCCCATCTTTTTTTTTGGGTTTCGTGTTTTGATTTCCGGGTTTGTTCTGTTTGGTTTCTGGGAAAATGGGTGGGAAACTAGAGTTTGTCGGAGTTAAGTTAATGGGTTTTGCTGGGTTTGATTTGCAATCATTTTTCATTATTTTTGGCGGGTTTGGTAATCAAAAAGCAGAAATTGTGTCAATTAACGAATTTTACTCGTTACCCATATGAATTATGTTATACGTACAATAGACGTCTATTATGTTTGATTATCTAAACTTACTTTAATCGTTTTGATTTTTTCTAACTTCTTCTTTCCCCCCCTTTTTTTTTCACCAAAAAAATGATAGGAAAAGAGTTTGATTTTGACTTAGATTCTTGTTTTGAAGTGAAAATTCATTCTAGTCAAATTCCATACAGTTATACGTGTTGAATTGGGTTCTGTATTGGTATGTTTTGTTCTGCAAAGTCTAGTAATTTACGCATGTTTCCTCAAAATGAAAATGATTTTTTTTTTCCTTAGTTTTACTGTTTTTTCCCATTTGAATGTTTTTGATATGGTGAGAAAATAGATAGCTTCTTAAATCCTGAAATCTTGCATCATTCCCATAATTTACACTGCGGCCATGTGGAGGTTGTTGGACTTTATAGAAAGTTAAGTACACTAGGAGTCAGGACACTATGTCTTCATAAATACCATCTTTGTATTTGCTTTAGATCGGTCACATGAGGATTAGAACCCTGCCTCATCATAATCAGTAACTATGTTTATTTGAAGGTTAGATTGAAAGGCCCTCATCATAAAGCACTCCTCACTTTCTGTTTTCAAAATCTACATTTTCCACCTCTCTTTTTCTACCTCTCTTTTTCTTTTCTGCCTCCCTCTTGGCACGCTTTCTAGACTTATTTCCTTCCATGTGCAATTTTGCTTACTACTCATGTTAAATAAGAAGGCAAAGTAACTATAATATATTGCATAAGTATTTTTTGTTGTTCAATTTTATTTGATATTTTCGTATTGTAGAAACATGTGAATGGATGGACAAAGCTGAAGTAAAAGTATAAACTTATTAGGGAAGGTTGTTTTTTTTTTTTTTTCAATTATTGAAGGACCTTCATTTGGTGGCTGACTACCTGAGACACCTTCCTTGCTTCTTTGCTGTATCATCATTGTGAAGCTGAATTGTCCAGCATTTATGTATAACATCCATGTTTATTCTTTCTAATTTAATTATCTCTATTACAAAATTTTGCAGATGCATTTTAGTGGATGAGAAAGATAATGTTGTTGGGCATGAATCCAAATACAACTGTAAGAAAAATATTTCTATATTCTGTTTCCTTTACCTGTGATTTTTAAGGTTTTTGACTTACATTGAACTGAGATGTCTTCATCAGTATATATTTTGGAATTAAATTCCTTTCTATGTCCATATAAGTTACTAGTTTTGTTTATTTTCACTGAAGGAAGACATTTCATAATTTTTTAACCTGCTGTTATATGTATATCCTTTCAACTTTCTTTTTGGTTTGGCATGTTATAACATTTCCACTGTGTAGTTGTAGATTTTTTTATTTGCTGGTGTCAGCATTGATAATGATACTAGTTACTTGCAAGTTTCAGTGCTTGCAAAGGATCTAGTATAATCCTTTGAAACAAATTAAACCCTTTCCTGCTTCTCTTTGAGGTCATTGGGATGGTCTCTACAAACTTATGGTCATGATGAATAAATTATAAACTTATGTTAAAACTTATACACAGGATATAAATTGGAAAATGGATCAAGTGAATTTTTTTTTATCTTGTTTCTGCTGTCATCCCTGCCTTTTTTTTTATCTTCTCCCTTGTAATAGGCATCCCAAGTTCTAAAATTGGGACTGGGGCTATGAATTATAGTGTACCTTTTGCTTATTAAAGAATAGGCATATCCAATAGTTGACAACTGGGTGTCTGTTTCCATTTGAGAATGGAACTTTCTTTCATCTGCCGATAAATTCTGTAGATTCTAGAAAAATTGAGACCATTTTCTTGTATCTTATATGATTATAACTTTCTCTGAAATGTTCCATTAAACCAAGCACTTAGTTTAAGATGCAGTAATGTATTCATATCATACATTCGATTTAGACAGAAATTTTTCTGTATTCCAATGTTTATGCTTTTGGTAGATCATGTGTCTGACCACCAAAACTGTTATCAATAGAAGTGCAAGAGATGCACTCATGCATGTCTGCTTTTCAATTTGAGGATGTACTATTCCAGATTTCCAGACTTCCAGTCATTAAGAACTTTATTTTAAATGGATGGAGTTATCTTTTTTGTATTAGTTCAATCTTATCTCATGGTTCCAGTTAAGTATTCATCCATTTTCTGTTGCATATCGAAATTCATTCTGAAAATCTGTTTTAGCTTGTGCGGGGTTTGAGACTTAAGACTGATTAGTGAAAAATCGACTTCTTTTTTTTCTTTAATAATGTGAAAGAAAAAGGTCTGGCATTTTCTTTGATGGGAAGAAGCATTTTATGTGTTCTGTTATCATTTTATATATATATATATATATATGTTGGGATTCACTTACACACACTTTAGACATTACACTTACACAAAATCTCAACCATTCATCTCTCCACTTTGAATGGTTGAGATTTATCATGACTTTTTACGTAAAAATGGTAATTATCTTTAATAAATGTTAATAAATCTCAACCATTGAAAGTGGAGAGATCAATGGTTGAGATTTTGTGTACGCTTGGTGTGTAAGATGTGTGTGTAAGTGGATCTCTCCTCGTATATATATACATATGTGTGTGTGTCTATATATATATATATCAATATATGGCTTTCAACAATAGAAGATTAGAGAAAAGTTTAAATCTTGGGCTTTAATTTAGAATCTTATATTGTGATTCAAAATGTCTTTGCTCTTGCTCTTTCACCATGCATGCATATTTTTCTGACTTATTGCATTGTGCTCTTAACCATGTCTTGATAAGTTGATGTTTTCTTGGCACCTTTGGTGGATTCCTTTATTTCTGGAACTTTGATGATCTGAAGATCTGCAGGTCACTTGTGGGAAAAGATTCAATCTGAACACATGCTGCATAGGGCCTTCAGTGTCTTTCTATTTAACACAAAGTATGAGTTACTCCTTCAGGTAATATGGTGCTAATTTTAGATAAAACAAAGCTATTCAGGTGCTTTATCTTTTAAGCCTTGCATCATAGTGGCATATCATGCAAATACTTGTTTTTTATATATATTATAGACTCTACTTATCTTCTTCACCTTTGTGACATGTATCTAATTTACAAGGGAGACTGAAAAAATTCCTAATTCAGATCTTTAGTTTATCATTTTGAGCTATGACTTAGGATTATTGAGAGCCATGCATGGGTCACCATGTTAATGAGGGTATTGGATGCAGGATGATAATCATAATAATTTTTGAAGATTAATCATATGCAGAATCATGTGGCAATGATAATGAATGACGACCCAACAATAACTAGTAAAGGTGGTAATTTTTTGTTATCATAGCTGGCCATAATCATGGTTAGCAATAATCCTGGTTATCAATAATGACAACTGACTTTGGGTTAAGACATTTTTGCTCATGTACATTGGCATGATGTATTTCATTTATCCTTTTCTTTTTATAAAATCTTACATGGAAAAAATTAAGCAGAAGCTTTCGGCCAACACATGAGAATGGAAATTGCGAAGTAGACTGTGGTGGGGAAAGGAGACGAAGTATACGTATGGGAAATGTAATGGCCAGCAAAAATGCATCTGGAACTTGAACATGTTAAAGCATTTAATACAGACATTAATCAAAAGAAAACAAGATCAGAGGTGTAATTCATCCCAGGAATTGTCCTATGCCTGGTTTAAAGGCATAATCCATTTTGAGTTAGGTGAATAGTAGGTTCTTGAAATCATTAAGTAAAAAAAAAAAAAATCTAAAAAAAATGGGTTGTACCAAACCAAAAAATTGTTATGCGAGGTCATGCATAGATGTGCATTGGGTATATTTTCTTTAGTTCTTATTAATATCAGCATGTTATAATTGACTGCCCCCTTAACAGTTAAACATTTTTTTAGTATAGAATATGTTGTTGGAAATATTACAAACATAACTTTTAACTGATGAAATATCATGAATTGATTATTTGGCCTGCACACGTTTATGTATAATGAAATAAGTTATTACAAAAATGGGATGACATTTTTTATTGGTTTCCAGCAACGCTCTGTAACAAAGGTGACATTCCCTCTTGTGTGGACAAACACCTGTTGTAGCCATCCTCTGTACCGCGAGTCGGAGCTCATTTATGAGAATTCTCTTGGTATATATTTTCCATATCCTACTGAACTTCATCTTGAGTCTTTCTACTTGCCATTGCTCAATTGTTTCATTTCATTTCCCATTATCCTTTTTACTTGCCAGGGGTGAGGAATGCTGCACAAAGGAAGCTTTTGGATGAACTGGGCATTCCAGCAGAAGATGTGCCGGTTGATCAGTTCACCCCACTGGGTAGAATTCTGTACAAAGCACCTTCTGATGGGAAGTGGGGGGAGCATGAACGTAATAAGTCCAACTCAATTTACTTTCTCTGCAATCTTTGACATTCTATTATAAATTCTATCCAAGAGAGAACTATTGTTAATTTGATGTTGCTAGCTCATATCCATGTCTTCATCTTATCTTCTAGTTGCACGAGCCTGTCTTTCAATATAGTATTTTCTGCAAAATTCTCTGTTCTTGCAGTTGATTACCTGCTGTTCATTGTACGAGATGTTAACGTCAATCCAAATCCTGACGAAGTAGCTGATATCAAATATGTGAACCGTGAACAATTGAAGGAGCTATTGAGAAAGGCAGACGCTGGCGAGGAAGGTATTAAACTCTCCCCTTGGTTCAGACTAGTTGTGGAAAATTTCTTGTTCAAGTGGTGGGACCATGTTGAGAAAGGCACCTTCAAGGAAGCAGCTGACATGGAAACCATTCACAAGCTGACTTGAGAAAAAGGCAGACTTAAGGTCTAGATGTGCACATTTTGATGCAACGTCACTAGAAGAAAGATTCCAATAAGATTTGGACTTTGAAATAGCTCTTAAGAATGGTTGACTTCCTGTTGTGTTCTTTTCATAATTGGATGACTTACAGCATTTCAGACTTTTCAGTACTAAATTTTGAGTTGTATCATGAAACTGGCAATGCTTGTAATTTAGACCTGCCTTCAATAAAAACTTATTCCATTAGTACATCTTACTGATATTTGCTGTGAATATTGAATCCTTTGTATTCAGGTCGGTTACATTTTTCTTCGCTGTTAGATAATGGTTTGTGTTCCTGTTTAACAAGAAATTTGATTTTAACTACAGGAGCTGGTTATGGCCTGAAAAAAAATTACTGGAGCTAGTTTGTTACCATGTCATGGCAATTAAAAATGTGAAGTCCTTTTTTTTTTTTTTTTGGTAAAGGCAATGGTTAAAGGTTAGTATGTTAGAAGTGTTAGTGAACGATATTGAACCGAAACTTGAGAATGCAAACCACGGACTGTCTTTTAGGACAGCAAGTGGCACTTGGGCCACGTCACGTGGAATGCAAAATGTGAAGTCCTTTGTTTAGAGGGAATACCAATGCACCCCGTCAGCGGCAAAATCAATAATGCACAATTTAACACGTCACTAAAAGTGAGATTGCATACTAATTCTAGCAGGTTTATTATTTTGGTTATGCTGACCATGTCAAGATTTGATTAACCTGTAATACACCGGTGGTATTGTAGACTTATTAGGAAGAGGGCAGGAAGTTGAAGGGAAAGTAGCATAAGTGAACAAGTTTCAAAATATAATTCAGAAGCGTGTACTTAAATCTATTTCGGTAGTCATTATTATCTCTCTAACGAAGATAAAATTTAAAATGCTTTCATTTGATCCAGCAACAATAGGGTAATATAACAACAATGATACCACAACTAGCACAAAGCTATAAATATCCAATAGATAATTAAATTATCGTACCTTCATCATCACAAACCCAGAATGCATTCTACGGTTTGTCCAAGCTTCAAAATCTGATATCAGGAACACAAGCAAACGAAAAACATTACAATACAACTAGCTGGTGGCAGAAGGGCTCACATATCCAGCTTAAGTTGATGGGAGAGAGCTCAGACAGATAGCTCTGTTTGAGAAATCAGAATACCATCAGTGTCAGCATAAAGCCACTCTCCATCACAAACTCTAGTCCCGGCAATGGTCACTGGGACGTGTTTCTCTCCAATTCCCTTCTTGTTTGCTTTCATTGGATGGGAAGCAAGAGCTCTCACCCCAATATCACAACCATTTATCTCATCAACATCCCTTATACAGCCATTAACAACTATACCAGCCCATCCATTATTTTGAGCTTGCACTACGGGATTGCCCCCCAAAATAGCGCACCTCAAGCTGCCACCCCCATCTACAAGGAGCACTCTGCCATTACCCTTTTCTTCAAGAAATTCACGGATCAAAACATTATCTTCAAAAACCTTAAGGGTGACTATAGGTCCTGAGAAAACTTGTCGCCTCCCATATATTTGGAAGACTGGTTGGAGAGCCCGAAGTTCACCACTGACAATTAGTTGTGGATTTGCATCACAGACTTCAGCAGTCGTGGCCAAAGCCATTTTGTTCAAAGTCCAAACACCTTCAAACAAAAGGAAACAACCGACTGTCATTTAACTTTTCATTGCCAGAAATGGAGATTTTGATAATAGGTATCTTGCTTAACCAACTTCATCAAAACTCACTATGTTAAGGACTTCATAATTAGTCTAAGTAATAAGTACCTAGAAATCATCATTCATTATAATTCAAAAAAAGATGGATAAAAAGGTTATAGAAAATCCAAGAAAACACTTGTAACAACTCTCCCCTATGAAAAACATCATTCACTAC